TGAGCGAACTCAGCCTGTCGCGACACCAAACCGAGCACACCAAGAACTCCCCCCCCCCCAAAAAAAAATAGCGCATCTTACAACAACATTCTTTGAACAGTGAGCAGTAGAAGCGGCGGAGGACGCAAAACAAAACGGGCGTTCCAATTCAAATCCGCAGCTGTGCGACTCGTACTGAGTTGCCATCCTCGTGTCAGGATCTACTTGCAAAGACCAGCGTCCAATTTCCGCAACCATCATTACATACGAGCTCCTATAACACCGAAACATCGATAACCCCACGCCCAGGCGAAAGCGAATACACGTGGCACCGTCGTCAACCTGCCGTCGCGCACTGCACCACCCGCGCGGCACAGGAACACCACGCGTGTGCCCACGCGTCCTCCGGGGTTCCCCGTATCCCCCGGAACTAGTAAGACATCGTCTACTAGCGCGCGTTTTGACACAGAAGTCTGGGGTAATACTACACCCAGACTTTTTGTATTTTTAAATAAATAAATAAATAAATAAATAAATAAATAAATAAATAAATAAATAAATAAATAAACAAACAAACCCCAGACTTCTGTGCCAAAACGATTTGATTGCTAGCTTGCAAGCTCGTGCGTGTATCTGTGGTGCCCCGGTTTTTGCCTAGACGAGGGGCAGGCGCACCCACCATGGCGACGCCCACGACGCTCGCGGAGCTGGCGCCGTTCTGGCGCGCCGACGACAACGAGGGCGTGAGCCTCGAGAGCGTGTCGAAGGAGATCGCCGCCTACAAGCCCGGGGGCACCTTCGCCGAGGACTACGCGGCCTTCGTGCAGCTCCTCCAGGTCGTCGCGCACCCCAAGGTCGGGGCCGTGGCCATCGCCAAGCCCGGCGACAAGGCCGAGGGCGACGAGGGCGAGGAGAAGGCCGAGAACTCGCGCGTCGGCGTCCGCAACCACGTCGTCGACGTCGGCACCGCCAAGTGCCTGAGCTGCGCGCCGCCGCGCGGCGCATCGCACCCGGGGGCCGCCGCCGGACCCGCGCCGCGCGCGCAGGCGTGCTGCCGCTCCACCTCACGGTCACGGAGCTCGTCTTCTACAACTGCGGCATGGGCCTCGAGGCCGTCGAGCTCCTCGCGGCGACGGTGCCCCGGTGCCTCACGCTCGAGAAGGCGACGGTCCGCGCGCCTTCGAGCCGACTTCGACGCGGGGGTCGTCGGCTCGCGCGCGCCGCGGAGCGCTCGACGAGCGCGCGCGAATCGTCCGACCGTCGGCTCCGTCGACGTCGACTTGAGCGCGTCACCGTGTGAGTCGCGCGCAGGTCGCGGTGGAGTACAACCCGCTGCCGCGCGCCGAGGCGCCCGCGCCGGACGCGGA